AGCTGGTTAACTCACACAGAACTAATGTATATGGGTTTCGCTGGGCTAATCGGCAATGCAAATGTTTTATAAATAGATCCTATACACGTTATCTCAGCAATGGAGTTCCTATGAGACATAGAGAGTTGTCAGGTGGTTTAGCTCTCTGGCATTTGCCAAACACTGAAATATCGGTTTTGGACGAACTGACCTTTTCACCCAAACTGCCTACATGCAGGTGTTACTCACCTATTTAAATATGAAAACCTATGATTATTTTAGGTAATCTGAGTTTGCTGGCAAGTACGACAAAAAGTTACATCAGCCACAACTGTGCCCAGACAATCAGAGAAAAAAATTCCATGATGTGACCTTGTTCCAATTATTATTTCTTGTACTGTCTCCTTTGTGCAGTTAAAACAGTCTTCAGTAAGTGAAACTTCCACAGCTTAGAACTGTCTCTAAGATTACAAAGATAAGTAAAACACAGTAGAGGCAAGGAATGGCAAAAGACAAATGTCAGTTGCTAGGGAAGAGTGGATACAAATACTTGTGGAGTAACTGCTCGGTCCAATCTTCAGGTTCCATGTATGTTTAACTCTGTTGACTTTTTGGGTGCAACCTTGTGGTCTGTGGCAAGCTCCAAAGAACACTAACCTCCAGCATTGGTGTTCAATGTCAGACTGTTATAATTGTAATAATAACCCACCCTCAACATTGACTGTAACAATAACCCAATCCCACAGCATCAGTGGTCAGTTGCTGACTTAACCACTTGCTGACCGGGGTGTTTATACCCCCTTCCTCTCCAGGCCATTTTTCAGCACTGCAGTACTTTGACTGACATTTATTCCGGCAACGCGGTACTGAAATTAATTTTATACCATTTTTTGGGGACAGATAGAGCTTTCTTTTGGTGGTATTTAATCACCACTACAGGTTTTTTTTTACTATATAATGAAAAAATACGGAAAATTTTGAAAAAAACGTGTTATCCCTACGTTATGTTATAAAACATTTATTATTACCCAATTTTTGGGTAAAATATAAAAGACGGGGTCACGTCGGGTAAATAGACACCAAACATGTCAAGCTTTAAAATTGCGGGCACCCGCTGAATCACAAAAAACTACCATACCCAAAATTGACCATAGCCGACGCTTTCAAAGCTTTTACCACTCATCAATTTAGTGTTATCAGTGATTGATGGCCCTAGAATTATTGCTCTCACTGCGACGCTTGCTGCGATATGTAACATGTGCGGCGCAATGGATGTAATCATCGTTTTCGCACGTAGGCGGACTCGACTCATGTTTGCATGTGGGAGACTTTAATTTGTTTTTATTGATTTGATATGTGACTTTTAATTTTTTAATTTTTTTTTGTAACTTTTATTTTTTTAACCCTTTTTTTTCCACTTAACTTTATTGCTATCACATAGGGAGCAAACAAGCTCCCTATGTGATAGCCAATTTGCAGTGACAGGTCCTCTTTATGGAGACATCAGGGGTCTTTAAGACCCCTAATGTCACCTTGGGACCCCCAGAGAAGCTGATGAAGCAGAGACCTACACCAGCTTCTCTTTCTGTACCTGTCACTCTCTGTTTCTGTACCAGAGAGTGACAGAGGAATGCGGAAGTGATGTAATACACATCACTTCCTGCATTCCGACGAGGAGGAGGAGATCAAACGAAGCTCCTGTACTGAGCTCCGTTTGATCTCCGGCCGCAGAGCTGCTGTGCTGGTACCTGGCTTACACCGGGAACAGCGGAGCTCGGGATCGCCAGCAGCGGAGGGGGCGCACACCCGCACGCATATTACAAGCGATCGGGCGTCTCTACAGATGCCTGAATGCTTGTATGTAAAAACAGCCATCGCTGGCTGTTTACATTCAAAGCCGATTTCCCGTTCGTGCGCGCCGCCTAGCGGCGGGCACGTGTGTGGCAGGATGGGACGTTTAAAAACGCCCACCCGCATTTAATAAGCCGCTGTCTGGCCGTTTAATTACAGCGGCCGGACAGCAGGTGGTTAAACAATACAATAACCCATTGTGCTATATTTAATCTTTAAATTATGTGATGTTTGTAATAACACAGACTAAAAACAGTGCAAGTGATCGAATCCTACTTGCAACTATATGCAATCCAAAAGTGCATATGTGCATGAATGTTAATAAATATACGTGTCATATAAATATGGTAAAAGTACGAATGTGAATACTAGATAATTAAATGTGAACCAAATAAATTAATAGATGATACATATATGTGCCATATAGTGAAAATACAGTTGTGGATACTAAATGATTAAATGTAAAAATGGATCAATTTGACAATCAACAACATTTAAATAGAAAGAACAATAATTTAGAGAAAACTAATGTATGACCAAATTTCGAAATAAAACCACATCTACTGGTATAAAGTGAATACAATAACCCCCTCTTCCAAAATTAGTGGTCAGTGTTTTCCTGCTGCAGGTCCATCCACTTTCCACAAACACACTTTGGCCCCTCTGCCACATCTGTGTGCCTGACTGGCTCTGGGTTTCCTCCTCTTCCTCTGGGCTGTCACTTACTCTTACTAACCACAGATATACTGTACATGGAGCATACCTTGCTACTGTACTGAATGACCACTGTAAGAATGCAGTCGAGACACAGCCCCAAAAAAGCAAATTCTGTATATGAAGCTATATAAAAGTACTACATGCAGCACCCCTCTGACCCCCAGAAGCATGTGGGGGACTTTAGAGGCAGGGTGGACTGACATTTCACCTCAGGGATGAGTCCTTAGCCAGTTTTGAGATTCATATATAACGTTGTGAGTTTTATTTTTATTTCTTAAGCAACTCACATGGGAGGGAGGCTAAAAGGCTACAGACTTCTAGGACAGTATGAATGCCAAACTCACAGACCACTTCTCAGCTTCACAGTGCAGAGAGCCTTCAAACTGATTGCATTAACACTGTATTGTAGAACTTTAGCTGGTTAGCAGACATAGCACAGAATTCCCAGGATGAGACACCAGATTTTCTGCAAAGTCCAAGCCCAATCCTGGCTTCTCTGGCACCTCTGACAGATAAAGTTCCTACCTGGTTCTCCATCCCGGGCACAGCTTCCTCCTTCACTGGCAGGACAACTGCAGACTGGTCTCCAAACCTGACCATTGAATGTTGCAGGCCTGGAAAGACAGCACATCACTTTACACAACCTCCCTTGGGCCCCATTTCTAAAGGAGGGTATGTAACGTAGTGTGCTGTCTTACCAGGCCAGGTCATCCCGAAATATTTATGTCCTCCACAGCATGCACCACTGACCATGAACTTCCTAGTGATTGGCTTAGGAGACACACATATTCATAACCCATTCATCACCATTATTGGCTGCTCTGCTCTGTGGCAAATAATAACAGAGAGCTTAGGAGAAACCAAATGAACACAGACTATCAAATCAGCATAGACTAGATACAGTCCAGGAGAACTAAACTTAAAGGAGAATTATGAGGCGAGTGATTTTCCTAATAATCGGAGCCGACCTGTGACAATGACACTGTCATAGGTCGGCTCAGTAGATCGGGAAGTGAGCAAACACATACCGTTGCTCGCTCACTTCTTGATCTATCCCTGCAGAGAGCCGTGACTGTCACTCACGGCTCCCTGCAGGGATTCCCTCCTGTAATATCTAAATTGCCTTGTCTTCCTGAAATAAGCTAACTTGCTATTCTCTGCTTCCAATGATGATAACGATACAATGGTTAAAAGAAGCAATGGTCTTATTTATTTATACACAAATCTAATCAAACATAATAAAAGATACAAACAGATACAATAAGACAATCAAGAGAATACTTTACACAGCAAGTCCGTCCTCTGGTTCCTATATCCTGGCTGGGCTCAAAGAGAGAGCAATATTGCCGCGCACGGACTTTTATACCCATTCATACACCTACATCGACACCCCCTTTACCCAGAATTCTGCATGTCCCTTAAATGTCTTTCGGCCAATTGGCATGGTCCTTCATATTTATCCACACGCACTGTAGTCCTCTAGCAGGGGGCACCATCGTACTGCAGATCAGTCCTTGGCCTAGGTCAACACCTTGTCCTTTGATCTTTAGACAATGGCCAGTCACATTCATATGCAAAATCCGGATATCTTGACATGTCTTCCCAATGTGCCTACACCCTTATCAACACCACAGGGTGCAACGCTTGATGTCTTGTCCCGATGAAGAAATGTCACCTTTCTCATCTCCCCTGCCATGCCCCAGGCATGAACAACACACAGTTGGTCTCTTTGATGAGCAATGCAATCAAGATTTGAAGATATCTGTTCAGCAGCTTTCGTACATGAAAATGTTGTACACTCCAACACCTCCCCTGTCCGATCCTCCAGCGCTGACTGGCGAAACGGATGGGGGAGGGGGCGGGCACAGCTGGCTCTGCCTCTGGATAGGCAGAGCCAGCTGTCAATCCCATAGCTGGGTGGATCCAGACCGTCCCGGCTGCGGCGTCTCAGCAGCTTGCGGTATACTGAACTTTGGGTCACTGTAGAACGCTAGTTTGTGTTCTCCCGTGACCCTTAGGAGAACTATGGGGAAAAGCCCGGGCCCCATAGTTCTCCTTTAAGGAATCACACTGCTTAGGGCAAGGTGGCTACACTTGTGTAAGGTTTCTAAACACTTAGGCCCCTTTGATTTGGACACTGTCTGTTCTAATCAGCAGGGTATCCATGCACAGTTCCCCTGCTGATCTGAGCAGAACAGAATGGATGTCACTTTTGTAAAATTCATGTCTCTTCATTTTTTTTCTCCATCTTGTATGATAGGTAGTTTTGGGGTACTGAGCGCAGAGCACAATAAACATGCAAACATAAATTGAAGATCTGTTAAAGCTTTAACTGCCATTGTCCCCTGTTCTTTTTTATTTTATTGCTGCCTTTTTTTTAATAACCTAGTTCTATTGTAGTCTGTTTATCATTCTTAACACAATGAGAATAAAAGCAATGAACTTGTACATACCTGTTTGCTCTTGCTCAGCCATGTTTTGCTTCCGTCAATCACAGTGAATATTTTGTTTTTATATCCTTTCAGTTCAAGGTATCCACTTTTATCACCATCGTTGATGATAGCACTCTTGCTGGCTTGTTTTTTCACGGCCTCTTCTAGTACTGCTAGCCACTCATGTCTAAGTACTAAGAGAAAAAGCAAAATATCAGTCGCTTTTCTACAGCATTGATTTAGTCACCCAAGTGTGCAATATTTTTATGTACACCTGTCATATCACAAATAAGTAGGCTGTCACTACATCCTTCTGAAAATGCTAGCTGCCTGGTTGTGTTTGGCTTCATTACTTCTGAGTCCCAAACCTGGAATAAGAAAGCAGCAAATGAAAATCAAAGAAAAATCTGAACTCCTTATCTTTATACTCATCCTAGGTCAGTGACTCAGCAAGTACAGAAACAAAATCATTAGACTGACAGCTAGGTAACTAGCATTTTTAGAAAAGGAGGTCAGCAATTGCAGCTTACATATTGGTCTTATGGCATGTTTTCTTCATATACACTATATGGTTTTTCATGGTACAGGACCTTCCTTATTCACCAGTCCATCTCAAAGTGGCTAAAAAGCAAAATCACTTCTCACAACCATATATCAGTCAGTAAACAGCAAGACAGGCGGAATTGACAAATATTTCTCATGGTAAATAGTAACTTGTTATTACTGTATTATTATTAGAAAATATTTTCTTTCAGAGAGAATATACAGTATCTCATAGAAATGAGTACACCCTTCACATTTTTGTAAATATTTTATTATATCATTTCATGTGACGACACAGAAGAAATGACACTTTGCTACAATGTAAAGTAGTGAGTGTACAGCATGTATATCAGTGTACATTTGCTGCCCCCTCAAAATAACTCTACACACAGCCATTAATGTCTAAATCGCTGGCAACAAAAGTGAGTACACCCCTAAGTGAAAATGTCCAAATTGGGCCCAAAGTGTCAATATTTTGTGTGGCCACCAATTATTTTCCAGCACTGCCTTAACCCTCTTGGGCATGGAGTTCACCAGAGCTTCACAGGTTGCCACCAGAGTCCTCTTCCACTCCTCCATGACAACATAAAATATTTACAAAAATGTGAGGGTGTACTCACGTCTGTGAGATACTGTAGATGAGATTAGCTCTTGCTTTACAACCTGACATGTATTTATAGAGAACTAGTCAGGAATAGTTATATGTAAGACTCTGAATCTCTCTATGTGGCCCGCATCTGACCGCATCCCTGATCTGGTGTTTACATGCAGCAACTGTCACCCATTCAAATTAATTTTTAATCTGGTGTTTACATGCAGCAATTCCCCTTAGGATGTCGGGGGTGACGAAACATGTAGGGGCAGGTCTACCATACCAAACACGTTTGTTTTCGGACCGGCCGATTGTGATTTTGAATTTTAAAAGACATTTTAAATAAACTACTTTTTGGAACTATTACCCGATGAAAGATTTTTCTTTGCATGACTGTGGGAATACTTTACACTGAGGACTGATGGTAAAGAACGAGATACGAAAGACGCCGCAGTAATGGTGTCCCATCAGACAAAGCGTTTGAGGCTGTCTGTTACAGCCGAAAGTTTGGGGTGAGTACGCACTCTATTAGGGGGATGTATTGATCTTAATACAAACCCCAGGAAAGCACTACTCTAACGAACATTGGAAGGCTCTGCTTTTTGGCTTTGAAGCGGAGCTGTGTATTACAGAGACTTTATCTGTTTACATATATTTTTTGTTTAGCACAATTAATTGTCATTCACAATTATTTTCGTTTACCCACCTGAATTTTTTCACGCATATGATTTGTCACTTGATGGTATTAATGCACATGAAGGTGTAAAAAAAGTGAAGGATTTTTTAATGTGTATAGACTGATCCACTTTATCTTTACACACTGAGACACCTAAAGCACTTGGTTAAAAATCACCTCCTAATCGTAGACAGGTTTATTAACTATTACAGTGCCGTGTTTTTATATTGATTAACGGCACTTGCATTGATGTAATTTTATTTTATTTTTTTATGATTTGTAGTTCACAAACACAATTATATGGTTTTTTGATTCACTTACTAGCGCTGTTAATTCGGTTTAAAGCATTCAAATTAATGATGAGGTGACAGCCTGCTTACCGCATGTAATTGTATGTGATATGATTACAAGCAGTTACAAAAAGAATCACTCTTTTGTGTATCCAGGGAGAGTGATTGATTCCTAACTGCATGTAATCCTTTCACATGATTACATGCGGTGTGCAGGCATTTAAATACAGCGGCTGTCACCTGATCATTTACTCGAATGGGTGACACTTGACCTTTTGTAACATGTGCAGACATTAACACTGGTACCATATATAGTCGCTGCCCCCGCAGGACTAAAAAATTTGTCCCGTGGCCCCCGAGTAAATTGAGTTTGAGACCCCTGCCGTAAAGGGTACAATTGCCAATTAACAATATTTTGTTTTCATTTAGTAAACTGGAAAGCCCCATTCTTATACAAGAGTTTTGTTTTAGTGTCTGTTATCAGCACAAAAAAAGATATAGAATTAAAGCCTGATATTGAATTTTTGACAGGAAAATGATACAAATAAATAATTAAAAATCAAGTACTCCCTGGGTGACTGACAATTTTTTTTCTGCGACATGTTTTGTTAATACTAATTGTAGTTTAGTGCAGCCTTTCTCAACCTTTTTTCAGTCATGGCACCTTTGCAAAATCTTGAGTCTAAAATGTCATAGATTGTAAGGGAACACCACACAAAGACACAAAAAAAAATAGGTTTCCCCCTTTACATCGAAGTGCCCCCTTCAATTCAAACCCCCCACTTCACATCAGCATTACCCTTTGCATCAGTAGGTCCCCTTTCACATCAGGAGTCCCTCTTTAACATAAGAGCCCCCCCCCTCTTTCACATCACAGGAGCCCCCTTGATCTCAGTCTTCATTCCCCACCTTCACATCACAGTCCCACTACCACAAAATTTTAGGGCACCCCTGAGGAAGCCAGAAGTCACAGCAGAGTGCTACAGCACCCTGGTTGAGAAAGGCTAAATGCATGTACTACTTATCTATTCCTAAATGTGATTCTTCATTGTAAAACAAAATGCTTTGACAGCAATGCTTAAATTGTGCTGCTCGTTTACAAATTACTCACTGCCATAGGCAACTGCTCCAGTTTTGTTTGCATCAACCATAGTTAGTAGTCACCATGCAGAACAATTCTTGGCTGAAATGCTGCCTTTTTTCTTTACCTTCCCACCCTTTCCTTGCAATTCAAATAGACAAATATTGGTGGAAACATGCACTGCTAATTCCTGTCCACTTTATCCAAATGTTAAAGAGACTTTAAAGACATGATTATGGTAAGTTTGGTAACTTTTAGTTTGAAAAAGACAATAAACAGCTGATAAACAGCTGCACAGTTCCAGGTATGTGAAAGTTTCTGGGATCTACTGTTCTTACAGACTCATAGGTCTTTATATGCAGTGTGAGATCATCCAAGACACGGCTGCCTTTGACTGCTAGTCTTAAGACATTTGGGCATGTGACCATGGTGCTGATTGCTGGAGAGCAATATCGATGCATCTGCAGTGCATGCATCTCCCTGCTCCTGTGCCATCTATTCTGTGGATCTGTGCTTTTTTCACTTCTCCTGCTGCTTCTCAGATATATTACCTGTTATCAGCTTATATCAGCTATAGTCATTGAGGGTGGCAGCTCTGACATAAGGAAGCAAAGCCCTGTTCTACCTCATTGACCATCTCCACAAACAGAGACAAAGGCCCGGTAAGTCAGTAATGGCGAAAATATTAGCTGCAGAAAGACCACAGAAAATACTGGAGACTAGTCCCTTACCCCTTTGCTTGCTGTTTTTGAGCACAGCTTCCAGAGTTCTCTTTATGATTACATCATTAAGAATCCCAAAAAAACAGACTCTTGTACTGCTAAAGAATAATCATATAGTGACAGCAAAGTAGATGTATGTAGCCTGTAAAGGCCCATTTTGAACTGGCATTTTGCTCTAAAATATATATGATCAGCTATGCAATGATGTGTAATGTGCCCATAAGCCATACACCTGCATATCATTTTTCATTCTTCAAGACATAGAAAATGCAATAGCTGGAAAATAGGTTTTGTCTTTCATGAATCCATAGTGTGTTGTGCATGAGTAATGCTATTTTCAAGGAACATGGTGTTATCATCTGATTCCCCTCCAACTCTATTTATTCATAAATCAATTTACGTATTTCCATGCAGGAAAAGAGAATGTGATGATATATACAGGCACACGCTGACGGTTGCTGCGTACATTATATTGCAAAATAGGTGAGAAACACAAAGCTGCTCTAGCGTCGCCAGCGAAATGATTCACCCCTGATAAGTATGGGTGTACAAAGTCGTACAACACAAGAGCTTGTTTAATAAGTGCAAACAGCAATATCATACAGAGCCTCAAACCAGACAGTAGGATTTCATTGATCGAGTATTGCTGACTGGTTGCTGTTGATTACTTCAAATTGCATATTGATCTCTCTATTTTTTTCTTCATTTTTATTGACAAAATAACAGGTTGTAGTGCCTTTATAATATACCATGGTATATTCCATATACCAGGAATTGTCACTGGGGTGGAGAGACAGGAAGGAATTTCATCTGCTGGAAGTGCCGGAGAAGCCAGAATTGGCTTGGACCTCAGAGAGAAGTCTGGTGTCTCACCCAGGGGGATCTCAAACATGTCTGTTGACCAGCTATGGTTCTCTTACACAGCGCACCACATTTTCAGTTTAAAGGCCCTTTACACTATGAAGCTGGAAAGTCGTCGGTAAGTCTGGAGTTCTGTGTTGTCTGAGAGGTCTGTAGCCCTAACCCTCTGTACCTGTTTTTGTCATTCATGGAATAAAGCATTTGAAAATCCTTGTGACTGGCACCCAATGTTGCTTTCACATCCCACATACCAGCTAAGGACACATCCTGAGATGAAATGTCAGCTCCCCTACTGTCAGGGGGGCACTACAATACCGTAAATCACGTGCCTTATAACAACCACTAAACAGTGGCTCAGTGGTCAGCACTTCTGCATTGCACCACTGAGGGTCCCTGATTTGAATCCCAGTCAGGGCACTATCTGCATGAAGTTTTCCTGTGCTTGCATGGGTTTACTCCATTTTTCTCCCACACTCTAAAGACATGCTGGTAGGCTAAAAGCAAAGTCCACCTTTTCAAACAAAATAATAAATACACACTTCTTTATAAAAGATACAATGTGCATTTATATTTTTTCTGCATTGGAGCCAGTAAAGCATTGCCGCCAGGATCAGGAGATTCCGCAGACTCTTCCACTTGGCCATGTCCATAAGGAGGTATGGACATACAGTAACAGGGACAGGAAGTGTCTTCGGACTACAATGTGCAGTGATCTCACCACACTTGTACTCCATTGAGAGCTACAAGTCCCTCTGCCGCAGTGGCTGATTGGACTTTCTCCATTCACAGATCCATGCAGGATTTGATAAACAGCAGCAGTCTGTGAGGAGATTCAGGGTAGTGCAGGGTAGGATAGTGGTGGCGATGTATAAATGCAAACAGAAGAAAGGCTGGCCACACACCAGATTCCAATGGAATAGTTTATTAAAGCTTATACCACATCACTGGTGTCCCGCCCAAGGTCCATATGGGCTCATATTGGAATGAAGCTGTGCTCCCATATGGATGTAACATGAAACAGGGTAGAAAAGGTAAACTTAGCCTTTAATTGGCCCCTGTCTAAATTGGCTCTTGTATGTACATGTGAAGGGATCTTAGATTGTGCGTTCCTTAAGGGCAGGGACTGATGTAAATGTGCAGTACTAAAAGTGCTGCATAAATTGTATATCCCAAATAATAATAATAATAATAATAAATTGCTAGTGTTCTATAAATACCTGGAATAAAAATAAATAAATAATCTGCAAGGCTTTAGCTCTTTTCTTCATTCACATGCATTGCCTATCACTCTTGTACAGGTCTCAGCCACTCTGTGCAGTAGTACCTGGAACTGTGGTCATTGCAGTCTCAGACGCCCTCAGATCTCCTGCACACCCCAAAATCAGAGGCCTCTGCCCAATAAAGAGTGGGCTCTGCAGTATAATTTGGACCATGCAAAAGAAGGGAGGCCATGACAATGGCTACACTGAATACAGTTGCAGGTGCTACTTCATAGAGCTGCCTGTACAGAATATTTGAGGATCTAAAAATGAAATATTACATTTGGGTACAGTTCACCTTTAACATCACATACTAATAGAAATCATAGAGAATAATCCAGTCTGATAACATAATTCTATTGAAATCTGCTGTGTTTCTTATTTTGTTAAGAGGGCCCTCCTTTGGGCCCCAGCTGTGTGGAAATACATAAAAGACCTTTAGCACTGGTATTGCTCTGAGAGATGGGTTAATGCTGTTTACTTATCCTGCTGAAAACACTAGTTAGATGCTTACAGACTTCTATCAGACTGGATACAGTATCTAGAGACCAGAACACCTTATTTTACCTTTCTACACTACATTTGTTCTCAACATTTGAAATCCAGAGCTCTTTGTAATAAGAAGAAGCGAAATCTCTGCAGATCCTTTAAGCCAACAAAATATAAGCCCTGCGCATAAAGCTGAAGTTTAATCTGCTCATGTTTTGTCTTTCTTAGTACCTGCTTTCCCTCTTATTATCTGTTTATGACATTTATAAATAAAATCATTCCAGTTTCATTACATACCTTATTTTATATCCAGTGATATCGTTATTAGATCTCTGTGCTTCTCTATGAATTAGAAAGTGGGTGGTGGGAGAGGCCAGCTGGGTTACTCTGCATAGAAACATCACAGCGGCTTGCCTCTTTACTCATCCTGAGGGCCCTTAACCCTGAGGCAAACAGTTGGGGAGCTCTTGGGAGGAGTTATGAAACTATTAGAATGCCTTGATGTGTGAATGTCAGTCTGAAGAGTGAGAAGTTCATGCAGACTGTCAGAGGTAATGCCCATAGATAATGTTGAGCCTCTAACATTACAATAATGGAAATCGAACAGGAGGGCAAGGGATATTAAGGCTGGGGAGGAAATGACTGGATGATGCTGATTGTTCTCCAGCCAAGAAATCTGACTTGCTCTAGTTTATAATGTACACTGGGAGATGCTCACAATTAGTTTTTAGTAGTTGCACTAGTTAATTAGTGTATCAGCAGTTACGGTTTTCTCTTCCCACCCTGGCAAAGTCCCACCTGTCCCCACCCTGGCAAAGTCCCACCTCATACAGCTTTCTGTGATGGTGAGACAACAATGCTGCACTGCTCCTGAATTCAGAGCGGGGTTGCCACTCTAGGCTGTGCCTGCTTGCACTACATGGGCTTAAAATTTGTTGCAGGGGGTGTGGCCATCAGTATTGTCACTGCTGATCCGCAAACCTGTAGCTTGTCAGTCAGCACCTGGCCACACCCAGTCCTGTCCACTGCTCTCTGGATTGACAGCACTGCTTCTGTTGCAGAAAGCCTCCCACTGTGAGCTGCAGTGTCTGGAAGGGGGAGCATGTGAGACACAAATGGTGGAGGATTTGGCTCAGTCAGGGAAGGTAAAGGAAGCATTGTTTACTTCACAGGACTTGTTTAGACATGCAGGAGCTCTTAGTGGTAATTTAATAACTTAATACTGAACAACTATCTTAACCCCTGATTCCCTACCAGCCCTTATCTTCTGAACACCTCGCCCTGTGCTGAGAGTTCCTGTGCCAAGAACATGCAGGTCTGCACTGAGCTCAAGAAGCAGTAAGATCACAGCACCAGAAGAAACTGTTTGCTAGCAGTGGTCTTTATACTGAGTGGTGTGGGCTGGTACCTTTCTGAGTAGAGAGAATACATATTTTCTATATGACACTGTTGTTCATCTCAATTTAAAACAAGGGAAACTCCACTCATGCAGGTCCAGCTCTGGCCAAGATACAGTTAGTCTGGGTTCCTCTTGTGCATTTACAGAATGGAGGCTGTAGTTGCTCTGATCATATAAAGACAAGCATGAAAAAGGATGTATTTAACGTAAAATGAGAGAATTCAAAGTAACTATACATAATGTAAAACATCATTTGCTCATACCTTCCTTTTCTGCTCGGAAAACATACGTTCTTTGTGATGTCACAATTTCAAATTTGTTGTCACCCAATTTTTTAATTTTTATTACTGCAGACAGTAAAACTTTCCCTCTTGAGAACACATCCTGGAATAATAATAAAAAAAAATGGCCATTTACATTTTCTTCACAGCAGAATGACCTTGCAAGGTAGTCACTAATAAACCATGCAGTAGTTTGCAACAAAGGGTGTTAAAAAATATTGCACTATAAATCCTAAATTAGGGATATAAAGCAAACCTGTCAGGATAGAAATAGACACTGCTATGGCTGACTTGATCATCTTAATCATGACTTAATTACCTAATGAGTTACTGTCCCAGGACAAGTACATAGGATAGGGGATCTGACTAAGAGAACTTTACTGGCTGCAAGCTTATTTCAGGTCAGTGTCCTACTCGGTAATAAAGCCAAGGTCAGGAGGAAGCCCCTACAGCATGTAAATTAAGAGCCTGTTCACACTTGCACCTTTCCTGCAGTATAAGACATGCAAGAATGGTCATTTAAACCCCATGGGGCTTTTTTGACTGCTTCTTTTCCTTTATATTTAGCATTTAAAATAAACATTGCAATAATCCATATCCATGGTTCTCAGCTGGTGGGTCAGGATCCAACAGTTGGTCGCAACCTAGTGTTCAGTGGGTCGCTGCATGCCTTCCACTGTGGTAGACGAGAGGCTCCTCAGCCTCCCCCTAGCGCAGCACTGTCAGTTCTAGCGCTGAACAGCCATTCAAAATATGTTGTCCGGTGTGGAGTGTCAACTTGAGGTGCGGTGGCCTGGGGGTATGGCCACAAGCGAGCTCCAAGGTAGCTTACAGCTACCTTGCATGCCCTGTGGAGGTGCCTGGACCAAAGTGACATCACATTCTCTACATGATGCGCAAGGGAGCTGTACAAGCAATGCACATATGGATGGATCTCGGCCACAGCACTGCAGCCCACACTGGACCCCAGGCTGAGGATCCACTCAAGTTCTCGTAAGTTAAGGAAAGTGTGTGGATCTTAAAAAAAATTCTTAGGAGTGTATATGTGTGCGAGAATGTCTATGAGTGTGTGAGATTGTGTCTGTGGTTGTCTGTATCTGTCAGGGTTTTTGAGGGGCCATTCGCACTAGTACAGTGCCTTAAGTGCACAGTCTCTTGCGATGAACGCACTGTACTACGCAATTGCACCTATCGCTGCAATTGCGGTAGGTGCGTTGCCATTCATTTGATTGGCACCCCAAATGCACCTCCTGCCCACAGTTTGATCGCCTGAACCAGAATGTGCGATACCGCAATGCTGTGCATTCCAGTGTAGTGCAACTTGGGTCATGACTTAATGATCACGGACAAATGTGGGTCCTGAGGTTACACAGGTTGAGAACCACTGCTCTAAAGGATAGTGGAAATGTTTACGGCAATATAAACAACTTTGACAGGTAAACAGTACATTTATTAATACAGACCTATATACCAGAGCAGAAAGAGGGACATAGGGAAGTTACAAATTGCATGCAAGTGTGATTGGGCCCTAGACAAACATGTCACTAGCAAGTCCTATATCTCATTATCCACAGGTTTATCTGGCAAATATTCCATTGTGAGAATACATCTAATGTGTGTACTCCCTCAAAAGGATCCTCAAACTTTCCAACGTGCTGGAAGATTTCTGTGACTTGAGATTTACTGTATTTAAAGTTCAATTCTATTTGCGGACACTAGCTGTCCTTTGCTTGTTTACTGCTGAATTACTTGCAAGAATCACCTACATGGCCATTAATGAGGCAGTGCAAAGAGCAATTATAATTGCAAGGAGCAGCAATAGGCAATTATTGGTATACTGTGATCAGATCTGTTGAGAACATATGGCTGGCTTCTACATTTAGTTCCCTCTGCACCTCTTCTTTAGTTACTGATAACATTTATGGCACGTTTAATGCTAGCCAAACTTTGCATAAACATGCATGCCTGTAAAATGCAAGCTTGATTGGTTTTGCCATTGAGAGAGTTTAGAAAGGCTTCTAGTACCACCCATATCATGGGGGAAAGAATAGCAATGGACTGTAAAATATAATTCAGATGACTGATTATTAACCAAAAATATTCTGGCATCTGGTACCTACTTTCATTGCCCCAGCCAAAGTTGGCTTGACTTAAAGCACCAATTTCAAAGGATTAATTTACTGCTCAGTAAAATCAGCCTTGGTCTCACCATGATATTTACATACGATCTATGGACTAGCTTGATGTATAAAACTGATTAGCTGATTTCACAAAGTTCTTTAAAAATAACCTTTTACTCAATTTTACCTTTCATTGACATCACAGTAATGCAGTAATGTTGTCTCCACCCATTGATTTATTGTTGCCGATCTGCCTTCCTTTATACTTTTCCTTTCCCTTTCTGGTGTTTTTATCTGCCAAACACCACTTTCCATTACCGGCTTCCATGTATCCAATCCATCCTTCACTCCACGTTTGCTGCTCACTTTATCTAATTTGTAATCAAGATGCCTTCCAATACCTGATTGTGTCCTCCATTAAACTAAATGACCAAACCATCAGCACAATTAATGGGAGTAATCACATTGCAGCTCAATTTTTAATTTTTCTAAGATGCTTTTAAGTAGAAAGCTGTTACTTTTAGAATGCTGAGTGAAATATGTTATGTGGAGCAAAGATCCTCGCTCACCGAAAACAAACAGCTATAAATGGTGAGCTGTACACTTCTAGAAATCTAGAGAATTAAGTACTACAGTACAAATATGTCAATCAGTCTTCAATATGGTTGTTTAAAAGTTACAAATGTGAAAATGTGTGAAATGTAAAAATAACTCACACTGGTTGCGTGCATATAATTAAATGAAGATGTACATCTTAAAGGGGCAGGACACCAAATGGGTTGTGTTGAAAATAGCGCACTGGAACATAAAGCTATAACTTTTGATTGACTTTTATAACAGTTGATCACCACCAACCTAGACTAGTCTACCTGGCATCTCATCTACAAACATATATTTTACAAAGATAGCATTTGTGCACTGAATCCAGCAGTTGTACCAGGTACATTTTAAACATGAGTTAAGTTGAAAACTTTATTTTTGGTTGAGCAACCTTAGAACTTGACTATACCTCATGGGAGAAACACTCCATGTAAATGATGCCATAATGTGATAACTAAGAGCTGCATTTCCTTTTTGAAATAAAACATCCCCATCTGCTGTTAAACTATCCTTATGGTAACATACCGTGGTGCCTCCTCTACTGCAGCTACTTGGTTTTAGTTGGTTTTGTATTTCCAGATATAACCAACAGTCCCACCTGCTTGCAAAATCTGGAACTCAAAAGCTGGCACCTCTGGTCAGGTACTATCATGTTAGATGTCAGCTGTGAGGACTGGTCTAGCAGCCAGGCAGGACCGAGTATCAGGTAAGTATATATTGTTTTGGGGGTAGTTCCACTGAAAGGGTTAAGTGTTTAGAATTCCGGAGTTCATCTTGAATGCTTTGACAATTGTTGCACTAAAACTGTACAGCAGCATTCAAGCTAAAAGATGAGGCAGGAAAGAAGGGGGGGCAGCAAGGAGGGGGGGGGGCGCTAATCAGTTCTGCTGCAATGCATACTGTATGAGCTAATAAGGGACATTCTGACAGGAGTAGACAGCAGAGCAAATAGAAAGATAGCTCTTTACTTAACAGCAGGTTGGTGACCTAACTATGCTGCTCATCTAGAGTAGAGAAAACTCAGGTCACCATCCTGGTTCTGCTGTCTGGCAGGGCTGTACATATCTCAGGACTTAATGGACAGAAATAGAAAATATTTTATTAAAATGTTGTGTCATTTCATAACATGATTTTGACATCTCAAAGGACTCAGTGACTCCAGACAGCTACAGTTCTGAACTGACTCAGGGGACTAGGAGAATATTATGGATCTATCTTTGTTACTGTACAAAGCATTAGAAGCAAACTAGGATTTTTATTTTTAACTACAGATCCCTTAAAACACATTTGCTACTTTACCCGATCATTGTGGTAGTAGGAAATATGATGTCCATCAAACTTTACCCATCTCTTCTGAAACATGCAAGCGCTGTAATAAAAAGAATAAGACTATTCTATTACCATGTTTAGCAGTGAAGTTAGCTTATTGTTTAGGCTTCCTGCCACTTTCAATCCACTGAACTGAAGATGAAAAAACTGTAACAGTAAATTATTACTGTTAGATTGTAAGCCCTCAGGGGCAGGGCCCTCCTTACCATCTTGTCTTGAATCGTATTGTAAGTATAATTACTTCCCTATATTGTAAAGCGCTGCACAAACTGTTGGCGCAATATAAATCCTGTATAATGATAATAATAATAATAATAATATTACAATAATCATTATCCATCCAATACATTTCAAAGACAGTGTTAGGGTTGAGATCACGGCTGGCTCCGGCCAGCTGTCATTTGCGTAGAAATTTGTCAGCTTCGGCCAACCTTTCTCCGTGCTTCGCCTGTCACTACGGCTCAGCCGAGTGGAAGCATATGGGTTCGGCTCGACTGAGTCGATCGGGTGCCTTCGGCTGCAGTACGGGCTATAGTGAATAGCCCATACAGCAGCCCTTGAGGTTCGACTGAACAGAAGGGCTTGGGTGGCCGAAGTGAGCCGAAGGATCAGCCGAAGACATGGCTGGATCCTTCGGCTCATTAGTGAATAAACTTCTAAATAACATTAAATACCCTCCTACTTCATGCAGGTAAATCAGGTGCACATAGAATATGGACATAAAACATAAAGATGGGAATTTATCAAAATTGGAGTAGACAGGATCTGAAGAAGTTGTTAATGTCATCCATTCAGTTTCTATCGTACATCTTCAAAGCTTAACTGAACTAACTGAAGACAGAAGCTTACTGGTTACTATGGGCAACTGATCCAAATCCTATCTGCTCCAATATTGATAACTTCCCTCCAAAGCTTATTACAATTTTAAGTTTATTAAACACTAAACTGAGGTGAAAAAGCACATAAATCTTAGGCCTCACTCACATGCGCCTTTTAGGGCCAGCAATGGATTCCTGCAGTGAGAATTAGCAGATTTTAGTGGCAACAATCACAGGTGGTTCTGAACATTCTTTGCAAATATTCACACATCCAGCTGTTACCTGTGGCTATGGGGAAATGACCGACCTTGGACACAAACAGATTGTAAACAGTGATTTCAGCCATAAGACTCTGCCGATTCTTGCTGCAGGAATCTATTGCCAACCCTAAAAAAACCTGTGGGAATAAGGCCTTAGGTGTTCAAATCTAAACAATAATTTTAATCTTCAAAAAAGTCCTCTCAAAGGACTAACATCAATTGTCAAGGCTTATTTTTTTCTTTTAAGTGAACCTTCCAAAACCTTTATAAAACTGCATTAATAAAGACCGACATGCCACAATATACAGCAACACTAGCATTTGGCAACAAAGATCTGCACCTTTTATTAATAAAAGTCATGAGGCTGCTTTAGACAGGAGGCATTTCCTTACCCTCCTCTCCCCCAGTTATCAGACTGCAACATGTAAATTTGTAGCAAGTCAAGTGAGAGGGATGCAGCAGGGGTCTGATCTGTGTCAGACATTGGTGAGCACAGCCAAGCACTGCACAGGCATCAGTATTTACATGACTGTATCATCTTTGAGCCAGCATCTCAGTCCAGGCTGCAGATGCTGAAGCTGAATGATGCCTGAACAATAATGAATCCTTACTCCAGAAGAGAAAAGCAGCTGAAGGCATTGTTGGGAGATATGTGTGTATGAACCAATCTATTGTACTGTATATGTAATTAATTATTTGCATTCTAAGCAGTATCAAAATTTGCCAAAACACTAAAAAAACATTGGGCCACTTTTAAATGAAGAATCCAGATTGTTTACTAGAAGAGCACATCAAAAATACAATAATGTGGCACCGTGCTGATGTGTCCTGTAAATCCAATAGATCGCACCCAAAAAGAATGAGAATGGGGATGACTAATTGATCCTACGCAGAGGCGGCTCTAGAGTTTGGGAGGAGGCAAATTAGGCGGCCGCGAGGCCCTCGGGAGCGCGAGGCCTAAGGCGACCGCCTAATTTGCCTAATTAAAGAGCCGCCTCTGGTCCTACGCTGCTCTACAAAACACAAGCTGGACACAGATACACCAATAATGGAGAATATAAACCTTCTATCTCACCTGTGAGGTGAAAGTTTATCTAACCAGCCAACTTTACTTGTCATCGTACATGGTGCATAGAAACTTGCATATGGGGTGATTGAGAATTCTTCTTGAAATCCTGATTCTGATGAATGGCTGCTGATAGTATCACTCTGGGAATGGCTATCCAATAGTGACTGACTTCTGAGGTCTTCAGCAGGCTTTGTGCCCACATCATGTGTTGATTCCTCCAAGGTAGAATATATTGACTCCTCTGAGCCACCATTTGTGGCTGATGACATAGCATTCGGCGGAGGTTTACACTGAGAGTTTTGTAGTAGGCTATTGAATAGATAAACAAATTACCATGTTACAAAAATCTGATTATATAGTTTATTGATTTTATATACATATTTATTTTGTATCCTGTTGAGTCTTCAGAATAGGAAATGATGATAAATCTCCCCAACAGAGCACAGACAAAACAAAAATACCTGATGGGGTTTTCACCATTCACTACCTAATGTAAAACTAAAAATAAATTGAAAATTTTTTAAAGATAACTTATACTTGTCATTCACGGCAAAATAATAGGTTTACCCGATAGCACACCCCTTCCCCTACATATACTTAATTCCTAAGTTCCCATGTCCCCCTACTTACCTTTGAGGGCCCGAAGAAAAGTCTCAGCTTAAGCTCTGGATCAGTCGGGGTTAGAGCTAGGGTGAAATAAAATCTCTCCCTTCACTCACATGACATCGATGGGTTTGGCAATTGGCTGCTTTAGCTGAAGGGGAGATAGTCATTTGAATAACCAAGCCGACGTGAAGTGAGCCGAAAGCTGTATGGCTATTCACTTCAGCCTTGTACGGCTGAATCCAGAAGTAGAAATCAGCCGTACATCGGCTGCCTTCGGTCAGTCGAGCATGCTCTGCTCCGGCAGCTCACTTGCTGCCGTTCGCCCCTATTCTCATAGAGCTGAACGGCAATAAGTGAATAACCGAATGCTGCCGAGCGACATTCGGTTCGGCTATTCTGCTCGGTACCTCCGAGGTAGCGAGCAGAATTAAAAATATGTGAAATGGATGGGAAAAAAAGTTGAAAATGTATTTTAAAAATGTAAAAAAATAGGTAAATTAAAAAATAAATATTTGAAAGAAAAGAAAAATAATAAAATAAAACATGGAAAAAAACGATGCACGCCGACCCGACCGCATGCGATGGACTCCAGCCTCATAATGAAACATCTGACAGATCTGGTCAAAATAAAAACAATTGGGCGGAGCTAGCGGTGACATCTAGCTCTGCCCAACTGTTTCCTATTGGCCAGCATGTGCCGGAGTCTTCTAACAGGTCCCTGCCAATGAATTTTAATGACAGATCAGCGCCCCCAGGTCATTTGGGGATGCTGTTCTGTCATTACAACTGGGCAGAGCCAGCTGTGAGATCATGGCTGGCTCCCCCCAGCTGTCATTTGCTCAGCCCTTCGGCTGACCTTTCTCCACGCTTCGGCTGTCACTTTGGCTCAGTCAAGCCAAAGCATATTCCTTCAGTTCGGCTTAGCCGAACCTAGAGTTTATCTAGGTAAGAGTCTGTATGGTAAGATACTGTCTGGTGGTCTCTCTGTAAACCTGGGTACACACAGCTACTAACTTTCATATGTAGAACATTTGATAATGCCATCAGGGACTTGATGATTGCCATTCAAACTTTTGTTTAGGTTAACATTCAATTTTGGAATCAGTGGAGCTTCCCCAAAAAAAACCACATGCACTTTTAGAATATCCTGCTCCTTCAATGTTCGTCATCACTGCAGCTGAAAATGATCAATGATTTGACTACATTAACTATTAGAAAAACAAACAAATGTTCTGAAAACTCATTTTTTCAAATGGAATTCTACTGATGTATGGCCAGCTTTTTGTTAATCTATGTCGGTCAGTATTGCAGCTGGGTAAGATCTTGTGATGTTCTAATTCCTGCCATTTTTTCCTGTATGCTTTGGGTCAACCCTTTTCGATAAAGTCTATCTCTGGGGAAAAAATAATATGATTCTTACCCTAGATATGTAAGCTTCATAATGTTTGAAATATTCCTGCAACCCCAAATGTTATCAGAACAACAGGCAACCAGCTAAATACCTCTCATCTTTTATTTTGCCATCTGACTTTTATACTGGTTCCCTTCTAGCTAAAACTGATTGTCACTTTAAATGGCTATGAAGTAAAAACGAAGGTTCATTCTTTCTGTGCTTATAGCAGCCTTACTAACACAAAATAATACAAAGAAAAAAGACACAGAATCATGTGACAAGAAATGACAGTTCGATAAAGCTCTAAGAGCAGCCTGTTGACTCTGGATGGACTCGACTTATACAGCTGAATGGACATTCATAATAAAACACAGCTGCAGTGTTTCCTGAATAGTATCAGCATGTACTACCTGACATTACTTATCTGGAGTTACTCTTTAATTTTACCTTTCACTACTTCCAGTTCCATCACTGCAAACAACTGAAGATATATCACTGGTAGCTTCCTGAAAATGAAAAATAAAAAAGAATTAAAATATGCATGTTAATATATTCATATTTCTAAGATTAATTGTAATTATTATTTCGTATTATTTTTTTATTTTTATTTTTTTAATAATTTTTCCATTTTTTATCAATTTTTATTTTTGTAATTTCTATCTTTTTTCCACTGAACTTTATTGCTATCACACAGCAGCTAACAAACCCCTGTGTGATAGCATTTGGAGGTGACAGGTTCTCTTTATTTAACCTGTCACCTCCAATAAAGGGGTTTGAGCACAGTAGAGTGCTGGCTCTGCTGTGACAATTGAGATGGGAAGGCTGCAAGTGCAGCTCTCCTATCTCAGTGTTCACGTGGAGCAGAGCGGAGAATGGACTTTGGGATGGAGAGCTCCCCGCTCTCCATCTTGAACTACCTTGCCATTGTCCCCGGTCTCCCAGAAGAGTGGGGGACCCCAAAAACCATGGCGGGGAGGGAAGCGGCCATCGGGGAGAGAGGCAGCCAGAGGTGGGGGCGAACCATGGAGGAGGGGGGCAGCGTGGGGGACAGAACTGCAGGCTTATTACAAGTCATCTCAGCGGCATCGCCGAGATCACTTGTACAATATGAGCGGTGGCTTCCCTGCTCTACATTTAGCCCTGCTTGCCCGTAGCAGGGCTAAATGTAGAAATAAACTACCCACCCACAGGCTACACAGCCCCTCTACTCCATGCAGCCCCAAGGCCAGGTTTCGGTGGTCTTGTGGGAAATCCGGCCCTGTGCATGGCAATATGTTCATGTACCTGTTTCTGTTTTTATGTACATTAGATCTTTTTCAGATCTGAAATGTAAAGTTACATTTACAGCTATCCAAGAAGACAAAAAATATATTAATAATGATTACAAGTCTAGTTGAGTTTGTAAAGTTGCTACAGATTTATTTTAAAGGCTACTAAACAAACTGATTTATTCAGGTGGGTTTTTATTAACATTTAGTGATTATTCTATTACAGTTTCAGAAGCTTTTCAAAAGAGGCGTATAGGAGAAAGGGAGCTTGTCAAACATGCAGCCACCTTTCTGCCTAGTAACCGCACAGAAGAAAACTGCCAGTTCTCTAAACTTCCCATCTAGTATAGCAGTTAATACAATAGTAGGATAATACAGTGATGTGCTAAGGATGATTGTACCTCTAAACGTATTTCCTTATTTATATATGTTTCAATGTGTACCTGCTAAATATGGTTTGGTAGCAGGTGCAAAAAATCCCAATGGAAGTTTCCTGGAACAGAAGAAATATAATGCTAACCTTTCCCGTGGTCCGTGTCTCTTACTTTAACTCTATTCCAGCTCTGAGACCTTTGTCAGACTCTTTAGCCCTCCGACCCCTAAATCCTTCCCTGAACTCTATGTCTTTCTCTGACCCCATGCCACTATGTCCTTCTCTGGCCCCTAAGTCCTTCTCTGACCCCTATGTCACTATGTGCTTCTCTGGCCCCTAAGTCCTTCTCTGACCCTTATGCCACTATGTCTGTCTCTAACCCTTTCTCACTACAGGACACATCAGTGACACACGGGTCAGATGATGGAACAACAGCACATGGTGGGTGATACAGGCATGCAACATTTTCAGTGGTGATAAATGCTGTAGATTCTGATAGAGGCTGCAACACTGGAATGGAGTAAAGGTAGGAGACACTAGCCACCATAAAGGTGAGTATAACAGGCAGCTCTTGTGTTGAAGGCAGTTGTAGGAATAGAGTAGCCATATTTTGGGTTGTCATTATAACAGTCATAGATGGTATATCTTCCAATAGGAACACCTACTGACCACTAGGGCTTTCCTTCTCTTTGGAGGGTTTCCTCTAATATCCTGGTATGTCTATCAGACAGGGAGTGAAGCGAAATCTCCTCAATAGGACAGAGATGGCGAAAAGCTAACAGTGGTTATTAACCTCCCTTATTCTAAAAAAAATGGCTTCAATTCTACTTTAAAGAGAGTATCAATTAAAAATAAAAATAATGACAAATCACAGAAAAAAGTTAGATACATTATAAAGAGAAAAGTAGAGGCTCTATGTAACCCTATTCTATCCAAATATTAACCCTGTATTTCACATTTTAAGTGCTGCTGTATAGTGGAAGCGGTTTGTAGACCGGTTGGCAGGGGTATAGACGTGCACGCAACACGCAATGTGTATTTAGGGAAATATGGTTAACCATGTTGGACATGCAGCAGCATATGCTAATGTACGGTTATGTCTTTTGAGCTCTAGATGGTGCTGTAATGCATTGCTAATCTGTTAGTTTTCTATATGCATACTTAAATATGATACACAGGAAGTTCTCTCTGTATGCTGTATACTGCTGTATTCTGATAGAATGTTCTTCTAAGAAAGTAAAACTTAATTAATCATTCCTCAAGATCTCAGTGCTTCATCTAAACACATAACCAACCGACTAGATAGATATATAGATAGATAGATAGATAGACAGACAGACAGACAGACAGATAGACAGACAGACAGACAGACAGACAGACAGACAGACAGACAGACAGACAGACAGACAGATAGATAGATAGATAGATAGATAGATAGATAGATAGATAGATAGATAGATAGAGACATAGATATGGCTTTCCAGTGTGTGCACACCTCATTTTTAAATGTCAGCAGCATAATTAAGAATGTGCAGTACAGAAAGACTCATGTATGCTGTGCCAACTGTAAACATAAGACTTTTGTGTAGACAGCTTATGAGTATTGAGAAGATATTGTGTTGCCCTGCTTCATGGTTTCCATGGCGGTCCTGCCATCTTACTACAAGGAAAAAGGTTAGTGTTGTAGTACATAAATTCCTTTGCTTTAAAATAATGTAGGCAACAATTCCTCAGGCTGTAGATAACGGCTGTATGATTATTCCCCTACCTGTCATATCCCAAATGTCATGTGGTTATTTGAAGTACTGTACCAGGTACACTTCCCTCAGATCTCTGTAACTACTGTCTTAGCCAATTCTAAACATGTCAGCATGAAAGGTTCTGACCCATAGTTTCATCTCTATCTTCTCCTGTTCCCTCGGTACATGAAACGGAAATACAGTCAATATGTTTTATTTATTAAAATGCATGAAGCATCCTGTACTTACTACAAGCATCATACAAAATTAAGCAAATACCAGAAACCCTGTTAAGTATTCAACGCGTATGCTCTTTGTCACTTCCGATGCTGAATGTATGAATGTATTTTGATTTCATTGATTTTGTCTTGCTGTGAATGTTTTGTTGCATGAATTATTCAATTACAATTAAATGCAAGGAAATAAAAAACATAAAGCATTATACAGCACATATATTGTGTATGTCTACAAGGAAAGATGGCTAAATAGACAGATAGATAGATAGACAGATAGACAGATAGACAGATGATAGATAGATAGATAGATAGATAGATAGATAGATAGATAGATAGATAGATAGATAGATCATAGGAAATAAATACTTCTCTCCCATGCTCATCAGCTCCATCTAGTGGCCATAATGCAGTATTTTCCTGATACTACATTCCACTTGGAAGGAAAATACTTTAAGAGCGTCTGTTTTTGCCTCCATTGGCACAGAACAGATGCTCATGAAGTTTCACAGGATGAATGGCACCACATAGATTAATAAAAACAAAAAGTGGCGGAAGGAGAAACTGACCAGGGGGTTAAGGTGGGTTTCATGAGTGCTAAAAGACTGTATGTGTGTGGCCACAAAGACTTAGTGAGTACCATGGCATGAGTGGTGGCAGTCACTGACTGTGGAAGGACATTTAATTTGGATTAGATATTTAACACTGATGAGGATTACATTGTATGACCTACAGTTCATATCAATGACAACTAATAAAAGGAGAGTATCATTAGATGAGGTATGCAGACCAATCAAAACACAGTACAGAAAAAATATTATGGAAAAATATCAGTGAAGGTTCTTATTATTTGGTGCCATCTACTCTACAGAAAATGATATATATACCAAGGGGTATACAGTATGCAGTGTATATAATGTAAGTATCTGTGAATATAATAACAGAGATATTGATTGATATGCAATCTCATGAGCAAACATAAATCACAAGACTCGTGATTATAGAAATAAATTGCACAGAAAATGATTAGAGGGTAAAATTGATATACCAGATGTAATTTCATAGGTTAAAGTATGGTTATGGAAAAGAAGATAAATCAATGCGGCAAAAGACTGATACAAAGAGAACACTATTAAAGATAAAGAATAAGCTACATTGCAAACAGACAACCAAATGTATGGATGTAAAACATACCCAAAAATCAATAATAAAAATGATGGTAGAAGCAAAGTAAATATGTCCTTTTGAAATAAGTTAAAGGGGCCAATGCTGAGGACTTACATTGACTCTGCCATTTGAAAACAAAAATTCTAACAAACAAAGCAGCCTGCAAATATCCTCTTCTCTGCCCCCCAAGTTATCGAGGCTTTGACTGTGACAGCATCCTGTCACCTGTAATATTGAGACCTCAGATATAGTGTGGCTCAGGCCCCTAGGCTCCTTCACCTAACACAGCACCACTCAGTATACACTGTGTTAAGGGCCCTGACACTTGCTGGGGGCTATAGCTGGATTTGACACTTACACCAAGGAGCAACACCCCCATTATTGATCATGCATAATTTTGGGCAAGCACATGAGCATGCGGTGGGTGGAATGCTATGCATACAACCTTTCTCTTCTTAAACCCGCCCCCCTTCCTAGGAAAAATAATAATCTACACCCCTGGCAACAACAACACGCAGAATGGCTTCAACCAAGGGAGTCATGATTGATTCTCCTGCCCAACATATGAAAATCATAGCTC